TAGTAAACAATAATGATTTTCTTGAGTGATTGATAATATCTAATGTATTTTCTGAAATTTCTGTAAATTGGCTGGCGTGAATAAGTAAAATTTGAAGGATACTTTATATATATATATATATATATATATATATATATATATATATATATATATATATATATATATATATATATATATATATATATATATATATATATATACTCTTACATGGTAGTCAAAAAGAGTTTCCCATAAACTGTAGTTTTAAAGAGCAAACCAGACCAGAAAAAGTTTAAAAACTTTATTTTTTTTTTTAAATGATAGACTGCCTGCCCAAACCAAACCCTCAGTCGATGTAGCAGCACTCCCTTGCCAGTCAGGCTATTTGTCAGTCGATATAGCAGCACTACCTTGCGAGTCAGGCTATTTGTCAGTCGATGTAGCAGCACACCCTTGCGAGTCAGGCTATTTGTCAGTTGATGTAGCAGCACTCCGTTGCGAGTCAGGCTTTAAGATAGTCGATGTAGAAACACTCCCTTGTAGCAGCAGGTTATAAGATAGTCGATGTAGCATTAATAACTATTACGCATGTTTTAAAAATGTTTTTTAATAAAACAAAAACGAAAACACCACTAATTAAAAAAAACTTTCTAGTCGTTATTATTGCGGTTTTTTAAAATTTTTTTAAAAAACAATAAAATTTAATGTACTTCCGCATTAATTTAATTGCTTTGACATTTCGACGACAATTAAATACAGCTTAAGAGACGAGGTAATTAAAATTGTAGTCGAAAGAGACTTTTTTTTACATTAAAAGACTTTTTCGACTACACTATAAGGATATATATATATATATATATATATATATATATATATATATATATATATATATACATACATACTTTAGAATCTTTTGATTTCTTTTTTAACATTATGTTGGTTTGTTAAAGAATAAAGTCAAATAAACCTGAGTGAATCAAAGGAACCTAAGTTTTTTACGACAAAACCCCTTTTTCTATATAATAACTTATCTAAAATTAAAAAATAAGACAATTGCGTCAAAAAAACAGGTTTCCACTGCTTTCTTTTGGAATCTTTTGATTTCTTTTTTAACATTATTTTGGTTTGTTAAAGAATAAGGTCAATTAAACCTGAGTGAATCAAAAATAAGGAATATAGAAATATATATATATATATATATATATATATATATATATACATACAACCCTCAGAATTAGGAAAAATAAGGAGTATAGAAATATATATATATATATATATATATATATATATATATATATATATATATATATATATATATATATATATATATATATATATATATATATATATATATATATATATATATGTATAGATATATATAGATATATATATATTCATACAACCCTCAGAATTAGGAAAAATAAGGTCGGCAATAATTTGCCGACCTCAATCTTTTTGATGTTGGCATTAGGTAGGCAAAAATTATTTGATACTAAAGTCTGACCATAAAACATAGAAAAAAAGGTCAGCGACCTTGTTTCTATGAGGTCATCGACCTCAAGCACTTTTAGGGCGGCATTGCCAAATGCCGACTCTAATTCCGAGGTTGTACATATATATACACTTACTAAAGCGTGTTTTGATAAGCATTTGCTCACTTTTTCTGCTTACCTTAAGCTATACCGTTTTTTTTAAAAATAAGAATAAAAAACGAATGATGAATGGAACGATTGCTTCCCCATCCCAAACCCTCAGTCGATGTAGCAGCACTCCACTGCAAGTCAGGCTATTTGTCAGTCGATGTATGTAGTGAAGCCCCCAGCAGCAGGCTATTTAAGTATGACGTTAGATTGCTTACCTTAGTACGCAATACTATTTGTATATATATATATATATATATATATATTACATTTATATAGATATATATATATAAATATGTATATGCTTATATATATTATATATATATATACATATATATATATACTCATATATATTTTTTATATATATACATAAATATAAATACATATATATATACAAATATATGTATATATATATATATATATATATATATATATATATATATATATATATATATATATATATATATATATATATATATATATATATATATATATATATTTATATGTATATATGTATATGTATATATATAGATATAGATATAGATTTATATATATATATATAGATATATATGTTAGGACTCTGCGAATCGGCAGTTTTTGTTTCGAATCCAATCTCGAATCAAAGCAGGTTTTGATTCGCAATTCGAATCACGTTTCGAATCAACATTTGAAGTTTAAATTTAAGCATTTTTTATTTGATAATATATATTTCAAAATAAAATAAAATAAAACAATTGTATAATCTCTTTATTGATGCTTCTTGCCCTGGTTAACCTTTTTAAAGACTGATAAAAAATGTACTTAAGGATAAGTAATGTTATTTTGATAGCTCCTCAGCGCAAATTATTTAAAATACCCACAACAAAAACAAAATAAGTAAGGATTCGATTTTTAAAAAATTTCAAATTGTATCTCGAATCATATTTTTGATTCGATTCAATTTGAAATTTCAAAGCTTTGCAGGGCCCTAATATATGTATATACAGGCCTCAGTGGGAAGAAAATTAGTGCGAGAGTGGCAAAAAGCTCTTCTGTAAGGAAAATGGCAAGCCATGCAAGCAGCTACTCTAAACGGCTTCTTAGGAGAGCTTTTGGTTTTTGCGCGAGCTCTATGTTTATTTATTAAAAAAATTAATTATTCAATACAATGTTTTTGTTTTATACTTGCTACAAGTCCAGGGTGGGATAAATCCTTTTCTTTTAATGAAGGTTGACATTCCTATCTTTATTTAATGATGAATGTCTAATTTAAGAAATATGTCATAAAAAGTTTTATTTTCAAATAATTTTTATTCTATTTAATAATTTATTAGATATATCAATGATAGAGTTGCAACCCCAAAAAAAACGGTGTGTTTTTTTTAAAAAAAACACGTTTTTTTTTGCAAAAAAAACAGACTGGTTCTAAAAACATGTTTTTTATAGTTTTTTTTGCTTTTTTTTAGTATTCATTAAATTTTAGATAATAATAATACTTGAAACAGTTCCAGTGCCCTTAAACCTACAAAATACAAATGTTTTCTATTTAATAAAATGCATATTAACTTATATAATAGCTGTTACAAACTAATCACCAATATTAAAAAAAAACAGTATTAAATATTTAAAAAAGCAATTTTTTAAATAAATCTCAAAAAAACTATACTATTAGCTACTAGTTGATTGTAAGTATAATACTACTGAATGAAGGAAATAAAAATGTTATTTTAGCAGTGTTATTTCATTCATAAAAATGAATGAAATAACACTGCATTGCAAAATACAAAATTGAACCAGCTGTTAAATAAAATTTACTTTAATGTTTTATTTACTTTTGTATATTACTTTTTTAAATTTTTAATATTTAATTTCTTTATTTTATTTTAAATTGCAATTAGATAGCTAAAATTTTATTTATTCAAACAATATTCAAGTACATAAAAATAACACAATGATTAACTTTGTCTAATGAAAAAACATTTATATTAAACAATTTGTAATCTATTAATTATTTTTAATTATAAAAAAAAAAAAGAAATCTAAAAAAAAATATGCCAGGCAGAAAGAAATGTTTTGTAGATACATTGTTCAATGAGGCACCTTTAGAATCTGGAGGTTCTAAAATTCAACAAGTTATATGCAAATTTTGCAGCTTAAAGCTATCAAAAAATGGCACTCGAATGACTGAGCACATTGCAAAATGTATGAAATGTGGCGATCAAATAAAAAACAAATATTTGAACGATATGCCTTTTAAACAGAAGAAAGTTCAAACTGAACTAATGATGGAAGAAGATATTCCTGAAAACTTACCTATTCAAGATATGAAAAAAGAGAAAAAAATATGTTTATCATCTGCTATTCCACAAGTTCCAATTGAGTCTTTCTTTCCAACACCAAGCTGTTTTGGAAACCAAAGTAGGTCTACAACCCCTAGGTTTGGAGACTGTAAGGCAAATAAAACCAAATCAGATAAGCCTCCCTTAAAACGATTGTATTCTTCAACAAGAGTTCCATTCACAACTCAGAAAAATAAAATTGCATCCGGATACGGATGCAATTTTATTTTTCTGAGTTGTGAATAGTTGTGGATGCAATACGGATTTGACTTTACAATAGAAGACCTTAATGAACAAGAAAGCCAGAATACAGAATCTGTTATTAATTAAAAATAAATCTTTTAAATGATGTACTATATATTTACCATATATCATGTTATTAATATATATTATATTACATTTATAATAAAAATAAAAATTAAATAAAAGTAAATAATTTTTTTTTTAATCTAAAAAACAAAAAAAACCATAAAAAACACAAAAAACACAAAAAAAACATGTTTTTTTTGCAAAAAAAACACAATTAAAAAAAAACGGTTTTTTTTGCAACTCTAATCAATGATGCTTTTTGAATTTAATTAACTTTTATTGCATCAAAACAATTTTACGCGTTTCCAGAGTGCGTGTGAATTAATGATAATTAATATGCAATGACCTAATAATTGTAAATTGTTATCTATTGATACTAAATAATGAATTTTAGTTTGCTAAATTTATTTACAAATAAAGAAAATTATAAACTTGAAGAAATTAAAATAAAAAGTGCTAAAAATAAAACTAAAATTTTGACATTTTTATTTTTTAAACTTATAAAGATAATATCATATTTATTTATAAATATAAGTATTTAAGAAGTTAATAAAAATATTATATTATTGGGGTTGTTAAATGCACAATAAAAAAAAACAAACTATAATAAACATATTATATGATTTTGGTTTCTTAGAACCTTCATTATTATTATTTAATTGTTTTTAGTATTACTTTGTTTGTTGGTACTAAATAATAATGGTATTTACAATTATTATATATATTTAATAGTAGCTGTATTATTTGCTTTTAGTATTGATGATTTATTGGTCGGATCACCACAGTATTCAGTTGTAACTGATGAAGGAAGGGTTTATATATATATGAATAAACCAATCTTTGTAAATATTATTTTATTATTATTTATATAAACTTAATTACTAATTACTTTGTAAGTGTTTGGCTAGCTAATAAATGTTAAAAGTTAGTTTTTTAGTGAGTATGAAAGTTAATATACTTTGTTTAATAAACTTTGTTTATCTGCATTGTGTAGAATATTGTTTTATTCCTTACTTGTGTATTGTTTTAATATCAGTATACAGTACATCATTTATTTATTCAACACAATTCAGTTTTTTCTTTCCTTCACTAAAGTTGTTTTGTAATAATATTTTTTCATTATTTTTATTTACTTACAATTGGAAATAAAAAAAATAACACAAACTTAAGTATATACAGATTTTTTATGTATTTTTGATTTTATGTTCACAGACTGGTTTGCAGCTGCAAAAGAATTTCTTAGCTCCAGATAGCACAATTGGAGCTCGATTTGGTTCTGTAATTTCTAAAATAGGAGATATCAATAAAGATGGATATCAAGGTAAATATTTTGTTAAAATTGTTTTATCTGATGATAAGAATTTTATCTTTTCTAATATAGCATTTTTAGGTGCCTTAAAGTACCTCATGCTTAATTTATCTTTTGAATAGAAGTATGATAAATCATACTTCTTAAAGCTTTTGAATTTAAATTTGGGATGTACCAGAATTCTGTTACAGCGAGAATTCTGGCCAGAATTTGTGACTTTCGGTTCATTCTAGTTCTGGCCAAAAAGAGCATATTTCAGGCTGGAATTATGGAGTTTATTTTTTACCTGTATTTCTTAAGGCATATTACACAGACTGTGTAAATTAAATCAAAAAATCATTTTCCTTCAGAGCAAAAAAGAACTATAAGTAAACCTAGGTAAAAAATACAAATTTCTAAACGAACACACTGTAATTGTATTTGCAATAATCAATTATGCAAGGATTTCTGGAATATTGAGAAATTTAGGAATTTTGTGGTGCAAAAATAAGAATCGCTCTCCAGTTTGGGCAACAAACTCTTCTTTTTTTTTCATCAAAAATGTTGCCTGCCTCTGGGAATAGTCTCATTTTAAATGTTATTTTAATTTTAAATAGATAAAAAATTATAGGATGCCTATTACAGTAAATATTTCAATTTTAACCTAAATGGAATAATAGAAAATCAAGAAATAATTTTATATATAAATATTATGGAGGTTAAACTTTCAATACATAAAATTATAAAAACAAATAAAAACAAAATATTTAAATGAAGCATACAAATATATATTATATAGCCATGATGCTGAGGTGCAGACTTTCACTTAAATCTTGAAGGTATCAAATAGTATAAATATAACTCAGCCAGAGTTTTATTGGCAGTTCTAGCAAATCTGGCTCTGGACAGGTTTTAAAATTTTCAATCTGGTACACCCCTAATTTAAATTACTAGACCCCAATGATATTTTAAAGTTATATTTAGTTTGATTTACTTAATGGATAAAAGTACATGACAGTGAATTTAGCTATAGACCAAATCAAAACAACCAGTTAAGTTACTACAGTTAAGTTGTTTAACTAATTAATTTACTTAATATACTCAAAAACTCACAAAAGTTAACCTTACAAATGTTTCTATTTATATCTTATATAATGTTAACCCATAATAAGCTTTTACCTAAAAATTATTTAGTGGTTATTCCAAACATTAAACATTTGATTTATTAAACCATATTTTAACAAGAAATAGAATATGAAAATAGAATATGAAAAACACTATATCATTTTAAAAAATATTTTTGTTTTATTTAAAGTGATACCAAGATTAAACAGTTTCTTTTTTTTTTTCTTTTTTTAGAGAAATCAATTGGAAGAAAAAATATTAGTCTCCTAAAATACTTTTGTTCAAATAATTTAGCGAATAAAATTGAGAATTAAAAAAAAAAGCGGAAAAATTTAAAAGAATTTTAACGCTCAATAATTATAACGCTCAATAATTATAAGTATAATTGCAACAATGTCTACAATACCCTGTGGCATAGCAAGAAGCATACCTGAAAGTTAAACATAGATCTAGCTACAGTAGCAATATCATATTTAGAACATAGTGCAACTTTTGAATAGTTAATTATCTTTTGTTTCTTGAAAATAGTTGTAAAAGTAGTAATATTCTATTCCAAACATTAAACTAGTGGTTATTCCAAACATTAATTCAAAAATTGTATTAAAAAAATTATTTTACTTCTGTTCTAAGAAATTTTTTTCCATAAAAATAATTTAAGCATATACTTAAAGAAATATAATTTGATTTATTAAACCATATTTTTCTCTCTCACTTTTTATTTTTAATAACAGGTTAGATCAGAAAGCAATAAATTAGAAAAAAGGTGGTATTTAATTTTTTTTGTTTTGATTATACTAATTTGGTTTATAGATATAGCATGTTTTTGCGCCTATATGAAGTTTAAAGTTTTATATTGACAGCGTTTTAATTTATTAATTAAGACAATTTTAACAATTAGAACAATATTTACTTTGTTTTATTTTAGATGTTGTTTTAGATTAACACAAAATGTGTTGTGTTAATCTTAGAACAAAGTTGTTTATCTATGCTGTTGCACAAGCTCTTTATATTGTCAAAACAACTTTTCAGTGTTGTTTTATTGTTGTTTTACAATAACAATTCAATACTCTTTAAAAATAATACGTGTTTTATTGTCAGCTGTGGCACCTGGTGACAATAAACTTCACAAGATTATTTAAAGTGTCAAAGATGCTTTAACCATTTCATGTAATTAAAGATAAAAACTTAATATCTGTTTGTAAGCATACATAACCATTTCATGTAATTAAAGATAAAAACTTAATATCTGTTTGTAAGCATACATAACCATTTCATGTAATTAAAGATAAAAACTTAATATCTGTTTGTAAGCATACATAACATATTTATATAGTTTTAGTTCTTTGGCTTCAGCTTTAACACCAAAAAAAACATTTTGATAAAATATTCTGATTCTTTTATTTCTATAGTAATGGTAAATGCCCAACATTTTTAAATACTCTAAACTTTGTATATATTTTTTTAATTAGTGCCTTTTTGAAAGTATCAATTATCGAAGCCATATTATGAAGTGTAACAGTACCACCAGTGGTACAGTTTTTGTGATTGAAAAAAAAAAATTTCTTTATATTTTCTGTTGTTTTAGCTGTTTCTGTTGTTTTAGCTGTTTCTGTTGTTTTAGCTGTTTCTGTTGTTTCTGTTGTTTGTACTTTTGTTATATCAAACTAATAATAATGTTGACTAATTTTAATATTTACAAAAAAAAATGCAACTGGATTTTCAAAATCCAGTTGCATTTTTATTTTTGTTGGTAAAAAATTCTTTAAAACTTGTGTTTGATGCTTATCATCGTGGTGGAAATTGACTCTGGTTCAGCATTTATCTAATTGGCAACTTAAAAGGTAGAATAACTAAACTGCTAACAAACAATGTAAACAATTTTCAATGGCTGATTCATTATGCCGCAGAATATAATACATAAGCTTTTCAGAATACATAAGCTATTCTACTACTTCAGCAATCCCTCATTGAGAATAGAACAAGAATTTCAAAAGTACAGTTTGTAGCTCTTCTTATATTTGTAGAAAACTAAGTTTTCTCGTGTCTCAATATATAAACTTGCTAAACATCGCCATACACTTGCCATACATTTTCTTGATTAATACACAAATCAAGATCATCATTAATATGGTTGAGGCACTATTTTTTCCCTGTAAAAAAAAAAACAAGGATTAAATTTTTTTTTTTTAAATAAAACAATGTATGCCTGAAAAATGTAGTTAACTGACAAAAATTTAAATGTACAAGATTGTTAATTATAAAAGAAATGCAAAACTTTTCCATGATATTTTAAAATCAATTTTCTAAACTATTCAATTTCCTTATTATTTCTAAACTTATAATTTTATTATAATTTTTACCATTATTATTCCTGTTTATAATTATAGAATAAAATTACTTGCCCTAGAAAATCTAATTTCTAAGGCAAGTCATTCACTGCTAATATTGCAATATTAACACTGTTAATATTCACAGTAAAATTGCAATATTAACAAATGTTAATATTTACAGTAAAATTGCAATATTAACAAATGTATAATGCTTACTACATTATTTTTACAAATAAATGTTTACATTTAATGTTATCAATTTTCTTAATATTACTGTAAGATATTGAGTCAACAAAACTTCTGACTTTTTGCAGCAGTAAGTTCTTCACTCTTTAAATCAAGAATTAAAAATGGTGGATGAAATTTTACAACTTAGTGATGTTTTTAAACTTCTTTTCTTCTCGGGCCATTTCAATGAGGCCCTGCGGTGTGCTTCTTGTCCCACTATTTATTTTTATAAAACCTGTCTGCAAATAGTTTAGGCTAATAGTTGCATATTTACATATATATATATATATATATATATATATATATATATATATATATATATATATATATATATATATATATATATATATATATATATGTAAAGCTGGCCCCCTATGGCCCCTATTGACAAGCCGCCACTGATTGTCAGCATGAACATATTAAATTGTTTTCTGAAGCCAATTAAAGTGGTTTAAATATGTCATTTACTCATTACATTATAAATGTGTATTTGGTATATTTTAATGTACATTTTAAAAGAAATCAGATTTGTATAAAAAATTTTCTTAAAAATAAGTTTAAACTATATATTTCCTGTTACGATTATATCATCAATTACAAAAAATAATAATTGTTATTATTTTAGTAGATTATTAATTTAAAAGGTATAAATTTAAAATTGTTAAAAGTTATAAATTTATAAAGCTTTTCTGTTACTTGTGATGATGTTATGCTAACTAATGTTAAAAAGCTTTTCTGTTACTTGTGATGATGTTATGCTAACTAATGTTAAAATAGTTATAAATTTAAAAAGCTTTTTTGTTACTTGTAATGATGTTATGCTAACTAATGTTAAAATAGTTATAAATTTAAAAAGCTTTTCTGTTACTTGTGATGATGTTATGCTAACTAATGTTAAAATAGTTATAAATTTAAAAAGCTTTTCTGTTACTTGTGATGATATTTTAACTAATGTTAAAATAGTCATAAATTTAAAAAGCTTTTCTGTTACTTGTGATGATTTTTTTCTGTTACTTGTGATGATTTTATGCTAACTAATGTTAAAAGTTACAAATTTAAAAAGCTTTTCTGTTACTTGTGATGATGTTATGCTAACTAATGTTAAAAGTTATAAATTTAAAAAGCTTTTCTGTTACTTGTGATGATGTTAAGCTAACTAATGTTAAAAGTTATAAATTTAAAATACCTCATAAAATTATCATAAAATTTATTTTTCTCAGATGTTGCAATAGCAGCTCCAGGTGGTGGTCCAGATGGCAAAGGAGCAGTCTATATATACAATGGTGGTGTAAATGGGATTACTCTTCAATACTCTCAAGTTTGTTTATTATACTATTAATAAATTTCTTGTCATTCTTATTATTTTTCTTAATTTATGCTTTATTTATGTTATTAATTTTTATTTATGCTTTATTTATGTTATTAAATTTTATTTATGCTTTATTTATGTTATTAATGTTAAAAACAATGAAGTTTTATTATCACACACATATATACTAAGTTCTACATATTAAATGAGTTTTAAGTCTGTTTTACAAACTCCTTTTGTTTTTATTTTTTAATTATAATTTTATATTTTCAAGACTCATCAAGCTTAATAAAGATATACAATGATGTTCATATAATAAAGATATACAATGATGCTCATATAATAAGGATATACAATAATGTTTATATAATAAATATTTATTAGGTTGTTTATGCATCAACATTTTCGTCTGACTTTGGAACTGGTTTTGGTTCTTCAATTTCGGGTGGACTTGATGTTGATGGAAATAACTATCCAGGTATTTTTAAAGTTTAAAAAAATATTTTAGTGAAGTTTATTTCTTATTAATCAAATAAAAAAGTTAATTGCACAAATAGTTGTTAATATTTTAACAGCATGTCATGCATATTTTGCCAAGCATAACGCATGTTTTTTCAGTTTTTATTAATTTATAATATATTATTATTTTAAAATATTAGTTTTTTATAGATTTACAATAACAAAACAGTTTTTATAGATTTGCAATAAAAAGCTCTCAAGTTTTTTGAACATTTCTCTAGAATTGTAAGAATTATGTAAATACAATATCATATTTACAATCAATATTTATAAATGGGATATCAGTATCTTTATAAATATATCTTTTAAATCAAAATGAAATGTAATTGATTGTAATGGGGTGGATAAGAATAGAGTTATCTTTCTATCTAGAAGTATCTAGATAGTTTTCTTAATTATTCTTTGTCTAAGAGGCTCCAGAACACCATGGGCCAAAACAAATGACTTTGAAATTGGTGTTGTTCAATGTGGATGTTATAGAAGCAAAAATTTAAAAACCTCTTAGCTTTTTTTAATTTTTTTTTTTTTACATTACTTATTTTGTTTTGTATTAAGTTTTTGAAAATATTTAAATACAATATAAAAAAAATTTTTAAGTTCTAAATAGGAAACCTTTATTTAAATTGTAAACAAAAAAATAAAAAACTGAAAAATGATTGTTTTATTAATTTTAAATAAATAATTAGAATAAAAATTTATATATATATATATATATATATATATATATATATATATATATATATATATATATATATATATATATATATATATATATATATATATATATATATATATATATAGATATATATATATAGATATAGATATATATATATATATATATATATATATATATATATATATATATATATATATAAATATATATATATATATACATATATACATATATATATTTTTAATAGTGGCTAGTTAATGACTAGCCACTATAAAAATATTGGAAAATTATCGACTTCCCATTTATAGCGGCTACCACTAATGGTCCACTAAATAATTAATGAGCAAAACTCCAAATAACAGCTAAAAAATGTTATATAGGTCCACTGTAAACCCACTAAAACAATGATTTCTGGGTATATATATATAAATATATATATTTTTTTTCATCCAGAAAAGCAGAAAAAATAAAAAATATTTATATTTTTTATTTTTTCTGCTTTTCTAAATTTGTTCACTGATGCTTTGTTTACGAGAAAACATTAGGCAACTAAGGGAAATTCAAAGTTCCGAATTGGTTTTTCCAAATTCTCTCTTAAGAAAGTGGTGTGTGCATACAGTCAGTAGATACAGTCAGACATTGGAGCTACTATCTAGCTTAACATCATTTCACACTAATTGCTGATTATTTCACACTAATTGCTGATCAGCAACTATTAGTCTGAAATGTCATAACGATGTTATAGCAAAGAAAAAATTTAAGTTAAAAATGATCAAAATGGTGCTTGGTGACAAGATTATATTGTCTGCCTTTTTGTAATTTTATTAAACTTTATATATCATCTTTGTTTATAATTTAATTAATTTCATATATCTTTAAAAAACAACAAAAATAAAAAATAAAAATAACAATATCTACCTCATGAAAGTTAAACTTATTTAAGTACTGGTACACTGATTCAAATTTAACCATAAAGGCAAAAGATAATTGAAAAAGATTGTTTGTTCCTAAATTTTAGAAAATCTTTCTAACTAAGAACTTCTTACTTTGTTTTTACTTTTTTTATTTTTTTAAGTATTTATTTTTATGATATCAAAACAAAAAAAAAGATTCTTTAATCCATCACAAAATAAAGAATTATTTAGCAACTAAAAACCAATTGTTTATATATTATAGGTAGTTATAGGGTCACCTGTTATATTAACATAAAAGAATTAGGTTAAAACATGTGTGATGAATTTTCTGAATTGATTATATTGTTCAATTCAATTTTTTTGTTTAGACGTTGTTATAGGAGCTTTCAATATTGGCAAAGTTTTTCTTTTGAGGTAAGTTTAAGGTTTTTTATGTTTAATTAAAAAAAACAAAAAGTTAGTGTAACCCTAGAAGCCTTATATACATACATATTGTATGGCTAGTAGTGAGAGAGCAGTTGATTTATTGTATTCACTCTTATTCTTCCTAATTGCTTTATTTTTAAAGATTTTTATTTAGAGTACATTTAGTTGCTTCTATTTGCTTATCGCAAGCTCAACATTATCTTGAATAAGTTTTACTGGATGTTTTGATAAGTCTTTAAAAATTTTGGTTTTTCAAAGCTTTTTAAAGGTTTTACAAAGCTTTGAAATTCATTGAATCTTAAATGTTTTTCCAAAAATCTGAGGGAGTTTCATTCATAGACATTTTTCAGAACTATGGCCTAGAATATCAAAATCAAACAAAAGTTTTTTTGACCTGTTGTTGGTTTTTATCAACCAGAAAACTGCTAACAGAAGAGATTTCAGCTTTTATTTTATCTATTCTTAAGTTTTTATGTGCCTTCCTTTGGGTCAAATAAAAAACTTTTGTTATTATTCTCTACTTCTATGTTGTGATCTTTTTTAAAAAACACCAACTCAATTGTAACAGGATCCAAATATCATAACCGATTTTTCCATAGTTTTAATACTACCTGTGGGGTAGACTCACACTAAGTGTAATGCCGCATCAATAATACACAGGATACCAATCCTGATATTATGAGTTAAAAATATTAAACTTTTATTAAATATTAAATTCTTTATACTTAGTAATGACAGTCTGGTCTTCTTTTGAAAAAAAAACATAATTAAAAGTTCCATCTGTTCACAATATTTTCTGCATATTAACATGTATAAGTTTTTTTTATAGCATATCAAAGCAAATTCTGTTGATGTCTGAATATAATGTCGCAACATAATGTTGATGTCTGAACATGAACTGCCTGATATAAAATTATTTCAACATTGAATTGCTGTGAACTGTGCTATTCAGCTACCATATTTTAACAACAGCAACAATTTCATGTTGTATAAAGTAATTACCAGTTTTAAGAAAGTGTCACTAATTATTTTATGAATAATTATAAAATAAATGAAGAAATTATATTATGAAAACTTGTTTTTTAATTTAAGTGATAAAAATATTTAAAGTTAAAATTGTTAAAATGCCTGTCCAACGATTGTTTTATAATATGGGTAATTTTTTAAAACAATCATGCAATTTTTTTAATTTAACATAGAAATGATGACAACTGTTACTATTTATTATCTCAGAAAACGTATAACAAAAAAAGCTTAGAAAACTTTTAGGCCACAATAATATTTTGATTCTAATCCCGAGCAAATTGAACTTCATTAATAACTTTAAGAAAAAATCAAATGCTTTTTGCAAAATCTAATAATAACTCATCTACATTGTATATATCAGCAAGTGTCTTTGTGATAAAATCAATTGTTTCAAGTAAATTAGTACAACTATTTTTTTTATTAACAAAGCCCTGTTATTGTTTTAGCATTGATTTGCACACTATTAAGTGTCTCATTATTTCATCTTGTATAAAACGTTACATAAATTTACACACAACTAAATATTAGTGAAATTCAGAAATAACTATATGGTTTAAGTTTGCTTTCTTTTTTAATTAGGAATAATGTTTGTTTTTTTCCAAAGGTCTGAAACAACACTTGATTTATATGATTTTTGTATAATATTGATAAAGGCCTGCAGATTGACTGAGAAAACATTTTAAGAACTTAAGGATGAACCTTGTCCACTCCAGCAGTTTTTTGTCCATCAAGTTTTTTGATATGAATTCTAACAACAGCTTTTGTAAAGCTTGGATCCAGTATTTTAAATTTAAATTTATCAATGATTTTTGAAACATTTGTTGAATACTCCCTTGTAAAAATTGAAACAAAATACTTGTTTAATGCACTCGCTATTATAGCTTCATCTGTAATAGTTTAACTGCTTTTTGGGAAC